TTCTTGTTCGCTCTTCGGGGAAAGATCAGACTGAACCATAAACACAATTTTAGGTTCGTCTTCAACTTCCATATCAGTGTCGTCATCCTCCATATTGCCTCGCACTTGGTAAGCACGTTTCGGCTTTACAGGTCTAGATGACGCTCCTGAAGTCTTGTTTCCCCAGCATGCCGAAGTCTCGTGTCCGAATTTGCCGCAGGACGTACACTTCAGCTTGCCTTTCCAATAGCACTTTGTGGTGACATGGTTATGTCTTCCGCAAATCGAACATTCCGGTAAGTTCTGTTTCGGTCTTTCCTTCTCGATCTTACGCTTTTTCCCGCATTCGGTACTCTTAGCATAATACCCCTTCTCCTGCGCCTGCGTACTGTGCGTCTCCCTACAATTATACTCGTCTATAATCAACGAGGTAATCTCCTGGGACGTTATACCTTTTGTCCCTTGCGCATCCGCATGCGTACCAAGGTACGAGGATGTGAAGGCATCCCAGGAGTCCGGTAGGGACATCACGAGCAAGGATTTATATTCCTTGTCCGTAATCATCTCGCCCATAAGATGTAAGTCGTTTTGTTGCCTTTTCATCTCATTGATATGTTCGATGATATTGACGCCTTCAGCTGCTCGCATAGCGAATAGATTTCGCTTCGCGACGACAACACTCTGTTGTCCTCGAACTTGATGAATACTCATCAAGTTCGTCCACATTTGTTCGGCCATTGCAGCCTCGGTGACATGCACCATCTGTTCATCAATGATGCTGTTCATTATCAAGGTCTGTGCAACTTGGTCGAGTTTATTCCATGACGCTAACTCATCCGTTTTGTTCGGATCAGGCTTTTTCGTTGTGCCATCTACATGTTCAGACACGCCATGAAGCTTGAGAAGGCCCATCATACGGGCTTTCCATCCACTCCAATTCTTTTCCTTCAAAGGTTCGATTTTATACGACGACAACGCTCCGAGGTTAATCTCTTTAGGTTTTTGTATTGCCGCAGGGACAGGTACTGTTGTGGAAGTCCCAGTAGCTGTAGAAGTCGGAGGATTAGGATTGGGATTCGACATCTTGATTATTCATCAGGAAAACCCTCCCATGTAAACTTAGATAAAGCTGTTCGGATTAGATCTTTTTTCGTGCAACTAATACATATTAGACATATTAGATGGGCTAGACATCCTAGCCAGACTTTATTGCTGATTTTTAATTAGCCATACCTTGCTGCTATTTAGAACAATTAGCCATACCTTGCTGTCATTTAAAAACAATTTGACGTGTCCTAGTAGACACCTAGGAAAGCCTTTACGCGCCCTAGGAAACACTAATAGGAAGACTTTCACACTTCGAGTACATGAAAAAATTAATATCATTAAAATCGGGTATCAGGCTGATGCAGTAATGTACGACTCATATGAGCAAAACAAGCACGAGAAAACATAGCGAGTGGTGAGATATAGCGAGCAGTGGGGTATCGAAGATTAAATCCTATGTCCTGCAAAATATGGCACAGCGTCAGTGAGGTATTCTACTCGTCATCCATTCCCTCAAGGTCCAAGAATGCTAGATCGGTATCTTTGTCATAGACTCCAATTGTGTCATGACATAAATGCCTGTAAGCAACAGTAAGTCAGCAACGTGTATACCAAATTGGATGTGGACTTACTGGACCTCCTCGTAAATATCGGCCATCATTTTGTGAAACTTGACAGGAGCCGTCCTTCGGATTCTCTCCAACAACGCCACGTGGTATGTATAGATATCACAGAATTGGTTACCAGTGAACTTGAAATCTTCACCTGCCTTGTTCTTCTTTGCAACGAGAACAGCATGGATCTAACAACAAAGAATTGAGTCAATGAACAGATGAGTGCGAACACAAACTTACAGCTGTGCTGACCATGGCCAACATGGGGATAGGGATTTCTGGTCGACCAGTTTTGTTCTCCGCAATGTCAAGAAAGTGCTGAGCAAACTGCAAACCAACTGACTTCGTGTTTTTGAAGAATGTCTCGTATAGAGTGTCGACTATGGGCTGCCCTTGATATGGCTTCTGTCGTTTTGGAGAAGGAAGACCCTCAGCCTTGATGCGAGGTGTCAGTGGGATGTCAAATTCTTGTGCGAAAAAACTAACATCAAATGTCTGCGGAAAAATGTAGGAATGACCCGCAAGGAGACGGTCAACGATAGCATTGCAGTCACGGCCGAGTCGAAAGTAGCCTGGGGCATATTTATAGGCGACATCCTTGATTTCAGTGCGGAAGAGGCTCACACGAGCATCAATCTATAGCAGGTGTCAATATTAAATCAAAGTAAGACAGATTACTTACTAGATTGGCGAGTGCCGACAAATACTCATCATCAACATACATCCGTTTCTCAATTGGCACTGTCTTGTGGTGCTTCGCAGCCTGAAGTAAGATTTCCCGCGCATATGAGTTCTTGGCCACAATTTCAGGGTACCTGTGCTTGAAGGCAATGTATGCCTTGACCTCGAGGATACCATGATGGATCACCTTGCGAAGCTCCGTGTTCTGGTCCGTAAGTCGTACTGACCCAGTCTTCGTGTAGACAAGATCAGCCATTGCGTCAGCATGTGGGGGCACATCGGGCTCAGGTTTGATTTCGAGGATGGAAAGGTCTTCCTCATCTTCCTTGACTTGTACTGCGGAGGAGGGCGTATTGCTCTTGCTACTGTGTTTGAGAGGCTGCGGTCCAAAGGATGACCTCGTCATTGGAGAGTCCCACATGGGGATCTATTGAGCGAATTTTGGTTTCAGTAGACTCAGAATACAAAGGAACAAAATATATTCTTACTTCGGCAGTATATTTCTTTTCTTTCGCACTCCAAGGCCTGTATTGTGAGCCCCATACAGGTGGTGGAGGTGTTGGTGACCGGGACAGAGTATATCTGGTCTTCCAAGGTCTGCCAGACTTACTCTTTGCAGGCTTTTTCTGGCGGTCTGCCTGCGTATTGACAATTGCAGGAACCTTGAAAGTTCATGCAGATTACTTAAGCTTATTGAATGCAGTGTGAAGTGACTCACCTCTTCAAACAGAGCTTTTGCGATGCTCTTGACTGGCTCTGATCCTGAGTCCGACATTTCAATTTCGGAGCTGGAAGCTCTATCAGAGACACTCTGCTTGCTAGCAGTGTCCGAATCAATATCTGATGGTTCAACACTGACACGAGCTATAACTTTCAACCATTAGTAAGAGTGTCACGTGGCAACACGCAATGCTGACCCCTCTTCTTTAACCGCTGAGGTTGGCTAACCTCCACGTTGTCCTCAGAGTCTGATGCGAGAGGTGGCGGCCGCTCTAATCTTTCTGTGAGCAAGTTTGGCTTTTGTGTGGGCACTGATACTTACTGCAGCTTTTGCTTTTTCCAGTTCTGAGGGGAGGTTCTGGCGCCCTTGCTTTCGTTCCACCACCTGCATCCATCATGGCGGGTCATCACTACAGGTGAGCTACTACTAATCGCGACTTACTTTTGACTGACTTGACCCATTTTGGAATAGGTGCAATATCATCAGTGGGTGAGCAGTTCGTGCTTGCGTGCCCGTTTGTTTTGGCGGAGTGGTCCCCAAACTGCCATAAAGTATCATTGTGAGTATGAATTTGTATGGTGACAATGTGCTTACCTGGATTGTCTAGAGCCTGATCTTTTGCCTTGCGTCATACTTGAACCAAGTGAGTTTTAACTTTGTTGTCATGAAAAATTTCTTACGCCGTGGATGCAAGTCCATTGAAGGGAAATTAAGGTCGGAAGGAGTAAAAAGTCTGAAAAACGAATGTGAGAATGCCTTTCTGCTGGAGAAAGACCGCTTCAAAAAGGTGAGTGAGTGTTTTTATTTAAGTTGGGGTCAGGCATTTAATTTGAAACAGTCCGCTTATTATACTGAGCGCTGAGCCAGGGTTGACCCTTTCCTTGTCTGGCTTAGTTTGCTATTTGGTGAGTTTATGTTCAGAAACTTAAAACACAGCTTTACAAAGTAGTCCTAGTGCGCACACCATTCTCTTCTTAGTAACGGTCCTGTCAATCGGGAACTTTCTTATTGGTGGCACGCTAATCGGATGCAAGTCGTTTCCTCCGTTTACGGACTATCAAGAAGCATTTTCCTCTCCATTACCACCCTCTATGTTCCACTACGGCACTTGGCGAAAGCCATTTCCTTCGTTTACGGACTATCAAGAAGCATTTTCCTCTCCATTACCACCCTCTATGTTCCACTACGGCACTTGGCGAAAGCCATTTCCTCCATTTACGGACTATCAAGAAGCATTTTCCTCTCCATTACCACCCTCTATGTTTAGCATCTTCAACTAGTGTTCTTCCCTAGTAACGGCCCCATCGGCTGGGAACTTTTGGCATTCCCCCGTTTACGAACTATCAAGAAGCATTCTCCTCTCCATTACTACCCTCTATGTTTGTCGTGTTCAGCTACTGTGCTTCGCAAAAGTCATTTATCTGATGTGCTTAACGAGTCTGATATCTGGTTCCGTCACTGCAAGACTTGAATTTACCAATCTCCGAGCATGCGGAATACCGTCATCACTTTACCCAATATTTCTTACTTCGGCAGAGCCTCACAGCCTCTTACATGCTGCTGACACCACTTTTTTGCTCTGACTGTCAGACTCGCACACTTTATTTGTCCTTACTGTTGACTGACAAGTTGTAAGTGATTTTCAGGTGTTCAGTGTTCATTTTTTATTGAATCTATGCAGAACATGCCCGAAATAACATGTCCTTCCTGCGATAAAAAGCTTGCATCAATCACCGGTTATAGTCAGCATCTCGCAAAAACCACCAATCCTGCCTGTCGTACCCTCTACCTTTCCTCACGGCAATTCGCTCCAGACCCAGCAAATGATGTAGATATAGACGCACCTGATCCAAATCATCCGCTGCATTTTGAAGGTGATTTTTTTGGAACATACGCTGAGGATGAGTTTGCATGGCCAGGGTCAGATGACGAGGGGGATGTTGGTCAAGCACCTATGGATGAAGATGACTCAGATAATGACATCAACGATCACGACGAATGGGAGCCTCCTGCAGCACCAGCACCCTCAAGTCATTCTGCGGAGCATCATGACACTAACAATCATGACGAATGGGAACCTCCTGTAGTGCCAGCACCTGCGCACAATGATGCCTTACACCCACCTACCACAGATCAAGGCCAAGATGCTTTTCATATGGCGCAGCGGCGACTTCTTGAACACGAACAAGTACCTATAATTGTCCATTACCCTGATCAACGAGCTGGACAGCCCATCGACTCAGCCATCAAGCAGCCAAGCAATATAACCTACCATGCACAGCTTAATGGCTCGAGTGCAGATAATATTTATGCCCCATTCACCTCGAAGCTTGATTGGGAGATGGCTCGATGGGCAAAATTACGAGGTTCAAGCTCAACTGCGTTCTCAGAACTTGTTTCTATTGAAGGTGTAAGTCCGTGCTTTACTCGAACACTAGGATCAATCTAATTGTAGCACTTCCAGCTTAGCGAAAAGATTGGTCTTTCCTTCAAGAATACACGGGAACTGAACAAGATCATCGACGATGAACTTCCAGGCCGTCCGAAATTCAAACGCGATCAGATTGTCGTTGCTAATGAAGCGTTTGATGTCTACTATCGTGATATCATTGAATGCATCAAGGCTCTTTTCAGTGATCCAAGTTTTGCTGACTTTCTGGTCTTTGCGCCTGAACGCCATTATGCCGACGAAGATGAGACGATTCGTTTATATCATGAGATGCATACTGGAAAATGGTGGTGGAATAGTCAGGTCGGTGTTTTCTACCTTTTGTGAGCTTCAACGTACTAATATTAATATTGTATTCTTCCTAGAAACACTTAGATCACGAGCGCCCTGGTGCTACAATAATTCCCATCATCATTTCATCAGACAAGACTCAAGTTACGAATGTTTCGCAACAAGACAGCATACCCCGTCTACATGACTATTGGAAACATCCCAAAGGATATTCGTCGGAAACCGTCACGCCAGGCACATGTCCTCCTCGCATACCTTCCAACTACTCGCCTTGAACACGTTACCAACAAAGCTGCTCGCCGACGGATGCTTGCCAATTTATATCATGCTTGTGTGGGACGTGTACTTGCACCACTCACAGCTGCCGGCATCAATGGCATTAATATGCGAAGTGGTGATGGAATAATGCGTCGAGGCCATCCTTTGTTTGCATGTTTTGCAGGAGACTACCCAGAGCAAGTTTTAGCTACCGGAGTCAAGACAACTCAATGTCCAAATTGCGATGTTCCCTCCGACGAGCTTGGTCTAGCAACTGGTGTCGCAAATTGGCAACCACGAGACCTTGGTGCAGTACTTGATGCCCTCTGCGCTCTTGACCAAGGTGGATTGGCCTTTGTGCGTGCATGCGCAGATGCTGGCATTAAGCCTATTGTCCACCCATTCTGGGAGGGACTACCCTTTGTCAATATATTCGAATCCATAACTCCTGATATTCTGCATCAACTATACCAAGGGCTCGTCAAGCATCTCCTCGCTTGGCTTTCTGATGCATGTGGCAGTACGGAGATTGATGCACGATGTCGACGCCTCCCCCCAAATCACCATATTCGACTATTTACGAAGGGCATCACAACTCTTTCACGTGTAAGCGGTACAGAACATAATCAAATTTGCCGTTTCTTGCTCGGCATCATCATCGACATCAGTCTACCTAATAATATGTCTTCCGCTCGACTCCTCCGTGCCGTTCGTGGTCTGCTAGACTTTTTATATTTTGCTCAGTACCCATGTCACAGCTCTGAGACGCTGGTTTTACTTGACGAGGCACTTAACCTTTTCCACGACAACAAGGACATCTTTATTGACCTTGGCATTCGGAATTCCTTCAACTTGCCAAAACTCCACTTCACAGCTCACTACGCTCACATGATTCGAATGTATGGCACTACGGACAACTACAATACTGAATACACCGAACGCCTTCACATCGACCTTGCGAAAGATGCTTATCGCTCTACAAACCACAAGAATGAGTTTGGTCAAATGACGACTTGGCTTGAATGGAGGGAGAAAATTTCACGTCACGAGAAATACATTCAGTGGAGACTCGTCGAAAACACCACACGTCCGCATCATCAGCCCCGTCCCCCAGAAATGACATTTCGTCGTACTCAAATGATGACAAAGCATCCTACCATCAAGGCGGTCACATTGGACAAGGTCGCAAACGAATATGGTGCCACGCACTTTAATGAATGTCTCGCACGTTATGTTGCGAAAGCTACCCTTCCTGTTGACACTACTGTTACGGCCAGGCAGCTCGAAGATCGAGCAGCTGATATACACATCCCATTTCAAAGACTACCGGTCTTTCACAAGGTGAAATGGCTCTTGGATAATGTTCGTGGTGATGGGGATCCTCCGGTCACAGTCGATAGTGTCCATGCACGTCCTGGACGATCAGGAAAATTTACATCCGACAGTGTTGCGCCACGATTTGATACCGTGTTCGTTAATGATGGCACAGGTGGGTCACTTGGCATCAAAGGTGAGTGCTCTGAATTGTGCTGTTGACTGGTACTCAGCGGTTACTATTTAGGATATCGAATTGCGCAAGTCCGTATCATATTCTTGATACCTCCCAAAGCCATCCCCCAACTTTTCCCGTCCACATTTCAGCCTCCGAAACATCTCGCATACGTCGAATGGTTCTCTGCCTTCCGTGTACCTGATCGAGATCACGGCCTGCACAAGGTCTCGCGTGTCGTTAAAAATGGAGAACGAATGGCCAGCATCATACCAATCAGCAATATTCGTTGTAGTGCCCATTTGATTCCGCATTTCGGCTCTGTAGCTCCTCGTGAATGGACCTCTGCTAACGTTCTTGACGAGTGTTCATCATTCTATGTAAATACATACTTAGATCGATACAGTTTTGCAACACTGCGCTAGTTGCCAATGATTATCATTAGCTTGCACTATACTATTGGTCTTAGAGCTAGCTACTATAAAATTTCACAGCTTGCGAAAATTTGTCTAAGAACGTCTAATCTATCTAAGTCTATATGGGAGGGTTTTCCTGATGTTATTTCAATGTATTGTCTTAACATTTGCTTTTTAACGTATCACAGGGCTCGTAACCTCTTATGATTCAGGTTCCGGGCTTAGTAGGAACAGCGACGATAATAGGAGTTCGTGGCGCTCAGAATATATTCGGCCGATTCCGATATTCTATTATACTAACTATTTACTCCGCCACTCAGATGCTCTCGTAACTCCGCTAAGCAGTGCACGAGCCATGTCGGCTGATTGCAACGTCTATACTGATGTCACAACAAAGTGAGTTCGGCGCGAATTTCGAAAGGAACGACAGACATGGATCCTTGACTCTGCCAGCGGTAGCTATATATATATATAGTGTCACATGTGATTGACCCGAGACTTCGCAAATAAGTTTCGGAGGTATTACGTCATGATAATACTGTCATAGTGGTCACCACTATGTAGTTGGTGCAGTCACTGCAGTGACTCTGTATACCAGGCTACTCGATCGCTGATGGGCCAGAAGGCTTTACGAGCTCCGCCACCAATTCCAAGGTTGTGTTGTAGTGGCTACATACTATGGGAGCTATAACGTTCCTACAACATGTCGGCAATACCACAGCGCCACCAGACGAGCGCCTGCTAAGCGCTGATCTAGCGAGCTTTCCATAGACTGAAACATCCATTCAACCAAATCACGCTTTACACTGATCATCACTCGACAGCTTCATCATTGCACAATCTAAGTCCAAGTTTCGATTCAAATCTTCGTACGTCGCCGCCTCTCAAGTTAACCATCGTTTGAATGGGTTCTAACAACACCCTTGAACCCAGTTAGTACTTTCAGTTGGTTCATTGTATCTCGCATACAACAACCTTCGTCAATGGGTGACGATCAACGTCAGTGCTCTCATCTCTTATCTCTTGCATGCTCTCCAATTTCTTTTGCAGTTCTTGAAGGAATTTGGGAGAAACTCTCCCAGGTTGCCGTCAAAGGTGCCCAATACAACTCCCGTGAACGTCAACCCCACCCAAAATGTTTGAAAGGGACCCGGGTTGATCTCCTCAAATACATCCACAAATTACTAGACGACCCAGAGAAGAACCACCTCATCTGGCTGCATGGAACGGCTGGCGTCGGAAAGTCTGCTGTTGCGTTTACAGTTGCTGAAACAATGAAAGGTATGAAAGTAAACGAAAAGACGAACATTGAAAAACGGCTAGCGGGAACATTCTTTTTTTCGCGCAAGCACACCGAACGTCGCACGGCTGGATATTTATTTGCGACACTTGTCTACCAGCTTTCCACCAATTTTCCAAGCATCCGGAAGGATGTGAGCAGAGCGATTCGCAACAATCCTGCTCTACTAGACCCAGACACACCTCTCTGCGACCAGATGGAGAAGCTCTTTCTTCCAGCTCTCCGTGGGCTTCACCTCAGATTGCGCGGGTGTCAGCCTTTGACATTTGTTGTCGATGCGCTTGATGAATGCACATCTGAACCCGAGCTTACTGATCTCATCCTTTCCCTCGCACAGGCTCTCCGTGAGCCTGGCCTTCCTGTGACCCATATTCTGCTTACAAGTCGCTTGGAATCCCACATCTCTAAAGCCTTTCAGAACGAAGAGGTGCGCCCGTTGGTGTGCGAGATGCCCGTGAAAACTTGCGGGAAAGGTGGCATCATTTCGTTGGACGGCGCAGACGTTGACAAGGACATCTGTACTTTCTTGCAGCATTCCTTCGAAGAGCTAGGAAGTCGTCGCCCCGATTTCCCTCAGCCATCGACGGATGATCTTGTGAAGCTGGCGAGCCGAGCGGGCAGACGTTTCATTGTGGCGTCTACGATGATGAAGTTTATTATTGATGATGAAGACAAGGATCCCAGCGATCGGTTGCAGCTGATGCTCAAGCTGACGAGCGAGCTGCTACCAGGAACGGAGGTGTTCAAGTTATACGACTGTATCCTCTCCACATGTGCCGACCCCAAGCGTGCTTACATGCACTTGTCCATTGTCGCCGCCCTCGCAGACCCTCTTCCCATCTCACAAATCTCATTACTTCTTGGATCTGGTTTAGGCAGAGATGTGCAGACGACACTGATGCAGCTACGGTCTGTTGTGGATATCCCTATAGAAAGCATTCTTCCCGTGAATATTCACCACTCGTCCATTCGTGACTATGTCTCCGACCCCTCAAACTGCAGCCTCCTTCAAGTACATGAAATGTCATCACCACACTCACTACTCGCTGATTCGTCTCTTCGCTTGATGATGAAGGAGATTCCTAAGAGCACAGCACTCTTGGATGCGCTTTCAGAGTTGACGATGCAGACCCACGCAATAAGTTTTGGGGATCCCCATAGATTAAAAAACGAATTAGCCTTCTTCGTCGGGGAACCAGAGCCAGTGTCTATTCTTATTAGCATGCTATGGCTTCGGGGTGATCGCAGGTCAGATGTACAATTCTGGCTAGAGACTGTGAATGGGGATGCCTGGCTATACACCCCTAACGGGAAATCCTGGCTGAATACCTGGGAGGGACAAGAGTGGCTGCAGACCGAGGGAGGATTGGCCTGGGAAGCCCAGCAAATGCCTGAATTGCAATCTGTGTCAGACTCTTCGGACGATTCAAACTCTTCAGACTCTTCGGAAGTGGGTGACCGGCCACAGATAGTGCACAGGTCAGAGTGGCTGCAGACCCAGGAAGGGAACAACTGGCTGCTGACACAAGGAGGGCCGGCCTGGATCTGGGACCCTGACATGAGAGCCTGGGTGCAGATCCAGGTAGGACAAAGCTGGCTGCGGACCGAGGGAGGGGGAAGCTGGCTGGAGACTAGGAGAGGACAAAGCTGGTTGTGGACCGAGGGAGGGCGAAGCTGGCTGTGGACCGAGGGAGGACGAAGCTGGCTGCAGACCAGGAGAGGAGCAAGCTGGATGTGGAGCAAGAGAGGGCAAAGCTGGCTGCAGACTGGGGGAGGACGAAGCTGGCTGCAGACTGAGGGAGGACAAAGCTGGATGCAGACTGGGGGACAAAGCTGGCTGTGGACCGAGGGAGGAAAAAGCTGGCTGTGGACCGAGGGGGGATCAAATTGGCTGCAGACCCAGGCAGGACAGAACTGGCTACAGACTTTGGCAGGACAAAACTGGCTGAAGTCCCCGGACGGGCCAGACTGGCTGAAATCCCTGAATGGGCAGGCCTGGCTGCAGACACCCCATGGCCAAGCTTGGAAATCCACTCCTGCAGCATCTGTCTGGTTGGCTCTGGACGAATTCTCAAGTACGTTGGAAGCAATCAGCGAGTTTATTATTATCCCAGAATTGTGTTCACTACCAACCTTCCAATCGATCCAGCAGTTTAAAACCTTGCCTGATTTTTTAATGTTCCCGACGTTCCTTGCGTTAAACTACCAGCATCATTCCACTACAAATCGTCCACCAAACAGGAAGATCATCCATGCCATGAACACCTTTATGACTTTCACACACAAGGCACAGCACAACAGTCAATTATCTTCCGACGCTCTCAAGTACGCCTGTCAAAACTGGGCCACCCATCTCTCGCGTGCTCCAGATCCACTGGATGACACGCTCAACCACATATTCCAGACTTTCTGGAATCGTTACCTCCTTTCCTGGCTTGAACGGCAGTGGTGTTTGAAGGGTCTGCGGTCTTGCCTTGTCGTCTTATCTGAAGGGCAGAAATATGTTAAGGTGTGTGTATTTCAACGTGAGAGTAGCAACAACTGATGTCGCCATATACATATTGGGTTCCATGTTTTGAAATCTCCAGTCTGGACACTGCAGCTGAGTGATAACACTCGAAGCCTTCTGATATCCCTACCTCTTATATACCCCAGAAAGACTTATACACTTATCTCTTCCAAAGACTCCGTCCTCCTAATCGAACTGAATGGTATGCATATGGTTTGATACCATAAAGTTTTCGAGTTGTCAGAAGTTTCACAGTAGATAATACCAATTTGAAGGGGCATATGGCTTCATTGTGGTTTCGATCTAAATCAGCATCAGGAAAAAACATAGTGACTACATAGTGCTATATAGTCAGGGTAGCGCGAGTAGCCCCGTTGTCAAGTGCCCTCTATGTAGACACCATAGAGTCCCATAGTAACTACCAGTAGCTACAAGGTACTACCGTAGTTTGTCGGAGTGCTACTGCACGCAGCTATAAATTACTACCAGCAGCTATATAGCACACCAAAGAACCTCGTAGTCACAATTAAATTCAACCACCTGAAACACAAACTAGCATAATACGAACGTCTTACTCACTGCGTCCCTATTCATCATCCCCACCCTCGCTACTAGGATACTCATACTCCTCGACCTCATCCTCGACTGCCGCATCCTTCCCCTCACGCTGGTACTCTCGAATAGCGTCTTCAAACGCCGCGTCGTCGATGTGGGCCTGGGATGTAGCTGACAATGGAATGAGTGATGCGACACCTGCGTGGAAGCTGAGAAGCGCGAGCATTAGAAGAGTCAGTGAGATAAGAGTCCAACATACCGCGCTGTATCATGCAGATTGATACGAATTTTTGAAAGGAGTTTGTAAGGTGCAGTGCGCTCATCAAAGCGTTGCAGTGAGCTGAAATGATGGTTGTAGACGGCCCCATAACCAGCAGATGTGAACTTGATGTCCTCTTTGATGCCTTGCGACCACTCATCAACACAACATTCTATCTATAAGATATTGTCAGCGTCATCAAGTTGAAAGTAAGAATGTGAAAAACGGCTCACAGCCGTAAGCACGAGCACAATAGTTTTGATAGGGATGGGGTCGAAGTATTTGTGGTAGATGACACCCTCGTCACTTCGGTTCAAGAACCACATGCTGTTGATACCCTGTTGAAGCAACTCAGTCTTGTAGATGCCTGACTTGGATGACGGGTCCTATTGCTCAATGTCAGCACTAAGTTATGTAGACCGTCGAATACTCACCTTGAAAACAAAGATCGAGCCAATTTTCAATCTCTCTGCGAGATCTCGGTTTGACCTTATCACCTCCATAGAATTACTTGAGCGGAAGCCGTGAAATGAAGCCGTGAGCGGACGCATCTTCGTCTTGAGTTCACCTCGCACGTGTGAAGCGCGTTTCAACAGCTTTGAAAGAATAAGACCAGGAATGCACTAAAAATACTGTGCTCACCATATTCACCGCCGAAGGGGTCAGTTTGACGTCAACACCTTTGAGTTGACATGCCTCGCGCCAGGCCTCTTTCGCCAGTTTTGTCTCAGCTGCAACGGAATCCGGAAAAGGTGCCTGTGTGACGATGAGACACCGATAAACGGAGCAAGCAGTTATGAGAATCTCTTTCGAGATTTCGTCAAAGTCGCTGGCTTTCACGCATCGACGCGAACCGTCAGCGTTTTTCTTGACCTTCGGCACCACGGTATCTTCATATGACATGTCATCGAATGATCGCTTGGTCCCTCGAGCTGCAGGCAACTGTTCATCGTCATCATCGTCAGCATCGTCGGCAGCGTTGTCGTTGTCGTTGTCTGTTGACTCGTCAACATTATGTGGTGCTGTTTGATGGAGGGTTAGTAGTGTAATTATATAAAGTAAAAACATACCTTTTGGTCCTTTGGTTGTAGGTATGGATGAGTTGCGCAACCTTGGAGGGATTTTCCCTGTACTGAATGTCAGGCTATTAGTGTTGGACAACCTTGTATCGACACTGTGGTCAGAGAACTGAAAAAAATAAATGTCAGCGGCTGATTTAAGATGAGGAAAGAAAACAAAAGCTTGTACCATTGTGTCTTCTTGCCTGTCCATGTCGCTAAGGAGCTCTGACGGCTCTTTCTCGAAGACGTCAGGATGCCCTTGGTAGGCAGCCTTTAAGGCCTTCTTCTTCTGTTTTGCCGTCCGGGTTTCCTTGATTTCTTGGCGATGGACAACATGTTGGGATTCGCTGACTGTAGAACGAGATGGTGAGTGAGCGGAACATAATGTGCTGGTACTTACGACGGTAGTTCTCTTTTTCAGTTGGTCGCCGCTCTCGACCACTTGCAGTGCGCACCTGCTGTTTTGCGGCAGGTGGTGAGGGGGCGCGCTTTTGTTTTGCGGCAGGTGGTGAGGGGGCGTGCTTTGGCTTGGAGGTAGGCTTACGAGGTGCCATGGTTGTCTAGTCAAAGTACACAGCAGGTCAGCACAATTTATACCACTGCGAAACAGACAAATAACTCACAATTGAACCTTAATAGTTCGTTGATTGTTGATTTGAAGAATGAAGGGCTGAAAGCTGTGTCAAACGAGAGGGACGATAAAAAGGTATGATCATACCGTCACAATTTATTTTCACTGTTATGAATACCCCCGACTCGTCAAAAAAACGGTATGGAGCTTGCTTCAAAACTCACTGTGCTCTGACGAATCTTGCAGCCCGATGTCACAAATTGCTGGTCGCAAAGAGGCTGGCTGTGAAGACACGAAAATTGACGTCAAAAGGTTAGTTGCCGTTCCATGTTACACTCAAATACTCACCGGCTTGCAGACCCAAGCTCGAAAGGCCTGATGCAGAGCCCATGTTCCTGCGCCCTCCGTTTCGTCAAACACCTGGCCCTGTCACAGCTTCCCAGAATTACATACGAAACCTAATTCTGGAGCGTTGGGAGGCAGAAGTGAAGGCCTGCGAGCAAGCAAAAAAACTGCAACTGTTAGAAATAGCACCAGGCCCAGCTATTAGTATCTTACAAGCGAGCATACGAAGGCTCGTCGTTGAGCGCTGGGATGCGGAGGTGAAATGGTGCGAGGAAGCCAAACGGGCGCAGCTTTCAGAGGTACTTCTGGCCGCCCATGGTATTTCCAAACTAACGTAGCACATCAAATTAGCTAGTATCAGAGACGAGAATTAACATACTAGAATTGGTCATTGGCTCTCTCGATCTTGTTCTCTCGCTAGACGAGGAAGATTGTAATGGAGGTTGTGTGTTGGGAACTAGGCAAGATGTAAGTATCATTCAAACCGATCAGAATAAGAGCACGTACCTATCTTACTGTAGACGGAATGACCAGGATCTCTGCCTATCTTACTGTAGACGGAATGGCAGGATCTTTGCCTATCTTACTGTAGACGGAATGGCGGGCAGGATCTTTGCCTATCTTACTGTAGACGGAATGGCGGGCAGGATCTTTGCCTATCTTACTGTAGATGGAATGGCAGGGTAAGCAGAATGGCAGGCAGGATCTTTTCCTATCTTATTGTAGACGGAATTGTGTTGGGAACTAGGCAAGATGTAAGTAT